CACTGTCTTGGGGAATAATGCCAACTGTTACGTAGTATTTTCGGGAACATTAAGTTTTTGACTGAAACACAGAGTCTTTACTGCTTTTGTTGTTGTTGTTTCTACAGATTTGGAACATAGACAACATCAGAAAAACTCACCTTAAAATTTGAGGTCAATAATGTCAGAAACAATTGTGAAGGGAAAAGAATGTTCTTACGTAGCTATTCTAAAATTTAAGTACTGTTGACCATAATATTGCTTAATTTTCTTACTGCAATTAGAAGCAAGTGAATTGTTTCAAAGTAGGCTTTGTGTGTATGTGTGTGTGTAGAGTGTGAAAGAACTGAAATGTTGATGCTTACAGCACTTGGACTATGCATGTGTATCAAAATTTGCCTGTTTCTTTATGTGGGAGGCTTGCTCTTCGCACCTCAGTTTATTTAATGTGAGACAAGTTCAAAAACAACACACTCATTCTAGGTGACTCTGTAGTGCCATGAAATTTAAAACAATTTTGGAAAAAGGATTAGTCAATTTTAAGCAAGAGTCATATCTTTTGAATTTTTGACTATCAGTGTAGTATCTGACTAGAAATAAAGAAATAATTACCCTTTACCATTTATAATTTCTAGTATTTCTCTGAAAGATTGTTTTGGGCACAAAAGTGACTTAACATGTCCAATCTCATTTTGGATAAAAAGTTAGCATCTTTTAAAATCTCAGATTGCTTGCTTGCAGATGTAAGTAAGAATTATGGAGAAGCAATTCCTTTAAGAGGATTACTTATTTCAATTGTTTTTAGTAATCTAGGCTTTGTCTGTAGAGAACAAAACAATGATTTTTAAATATTATTTGTGAAATGTGTTTAAGGGATTGTAGGACCTTTGTATATTTAATAATATTTATTTTATTTCTTTAGTGTTCACAGTTCATGTTCTGTTCTGCTATGCAATCACTTACATGCATTTCTCTTTACTTTTTTTTTTTTTAGATTTTCCTGGATATATAAACAACAAAGTCTATTTAAAACTGTAGCAGTAGTTTGCAGTTCCAACAGAGAGGAAAGTTGTAGGGCTAAACTTTGTATTTCCTTTATTATAAAAGCTTCCAAGGGCATTTTATAGTTCTCTTAAACAAATATTGTGTACAACCTCTAAGACATCAATATTTGGATCAAAGCAGACCTAGCTTATTTTCTGCTTGTAAATTAAGCAAACAGAAATAGTAAAACATTTTATTATTTTATGAAGGAAAATTTTTCCCTTTATTTTGCTATAATAAAAATAAAATGAAAAAAAGATTTGATTCAGTTATTAAAAAAAGATAAAATAGACATTTAAATTGAGTAATATAGTGTAATTTTACTCTTTTTCCAGAAGTATATATTCAACAAAGCTCTAGTTAGCCAATAAGAAAAACACTCTAATGGAAGAGTAGAGAGTAATTTATTCATAGGACAGTTAATAAGACCCTGGAATGTTCCTGCCCAGAGCAAATTTTCCAACCACATTTCCTTATTCTGGCTTGTTCTGCTCAGTAAGTTACCTTTCTACGACATTATAAGGCCTTTTAGCCACATCGGACCTTATGACCCAGGAATGCCACTTCTAAAATTCGAAAACAAATAACGCTCCAAGATTTTCTCCAAAGCACTGAAAATAATGAGGGGAATGGGATCCTGGAGTTAGTCAAATGTACAACAACTGAGGAATTATTCCACAAAACAGAACATCAACAGGATGGAACATTGTTCAACATTAAAATGATGCTTTTCATCCGGCATTTCAAATATGGGAAATGCTTACTTTATAAAATGTGCACACACAGATGCATACCCACAATTGAAAACAAAGCACTAAAATATTAATGCTGGTTATCCTTAAGTAGTAGAGCATGAGTGACTTTTAAAATATCTAATCAGTATTTTAAAATTTTTCAATGACTATACTTACTCCATTAATTAAAAGAAAATCTTCAAATAGTAGAGCTTCTACTTTGCAAATTGGGATTTTCAAATAATGATTCATCAGTAAGCTCTTAAAAGATGGTAACTGTGGGAAACAAGTAGTATCTTTTCCTCTCCATCTTGCATTACTCTTTTTTCACCCCACTCTAACTCTTCTTTCTTCACATCAGCCCAGCCATAATTCATTAACTAGAAATACCAAGAAACTGAAGGCGATTATTCAATAGTTTAAAATTTTTAAACTGTTCCAATTAACTGGTTGTTAGAATATATATTGTTTAAAAAGAGGTAAAATAGCCCAATGGTTAAAAGGGCCTCCGAACTTTAAAATAAGCTGTGGGTTTGAATCTTAGTTTGCCACTTACGAGACCTCACACAAGCTGCACTTTCCTTATCTGTGAAATAGGAGTACCACTCTGCTCAGTGAATTGCTGTGAGTTTGAAATGAGAGGATGCATCTAAGGCCTAAGATGGTGGTAGGCATTTGTCTTAGTCTGTTTTGTGTTGTTATAGCAGAATACCTGAGAAGCAATTTTTTTTTTTTTTTTTTTTTTGAGACAAAGTCTTGCTCTTGTCGTCCAGGATGGAGTGCAATGGCAACCTCTGTCTCCTGGGTTCAAGCGATTCTCCTGCCTCAGCCTCCCGAGTTGCTGGGATTACAGGTGCCCACCACCATGCCTGGCTAATTTTTGTATTTTTAGTAGAGATGGGGTTTCTCCATGTTGGCCAGGCTGATCCTGAACTTCTGAACTTGTTCGGCCTCCCAAAGTGCTGGGATTACAGGCATGAGCCACCGTGCCTGGCCCCAAGAAGGTAATTAATAAAGCACAGAGATTAATTTCTTGCAGTCTGGAGGCTGAAGAACCATGATTGAGGGGCTGGCTTCTAGTGATAACCTTCATGCTGTGGTCAGCCCATGGCAGAAGGGCAAGGGAGGGCAAGAGGAGGTGAGTCAAGAAGGGAGAGAGAGCAAGCAAGCATGCAAGGGTGTGCCCAAGAGATCCTTGCAGTCTTAAGCCCTTTTATTATTACTTTTTCACAATTTGTGTAAATTTAAGGGGTACATGTACAATTCTCTTACATGGATATAGTGCTTAGTGGTGGCCTGGGCCTTTTCATGTAACCATCACCCAAACAGTATACATTGTACTCATTAAGTAATCTCTCAACCCTCATCATCCTCCTCTCACCCTCCCTCTCTTCTGAGTCTCCAATGACTATACTCAGCATTAATCCATTCATAAAGGCTTTATAAGGTCTCCCATTAAGGCCTCATCTCTCAACACTGTTGCATTGGGGATTAAGTTTCCAACACATACTTTCTGAGGGACACATTCAAACCATAGCAGCACTCAATAAAAGGTAATGGCTATTACTGTTTTCTCGTGATGTTATTGCTGTTTTGGGTAAATAACCTCCAAGTTTTAATTTTCCTGTGGGGGAAAAAAAAGCCTAGTGGGGTACTATGACTATTCAGTTATTTGGACATCTCAGATCACTAAAACTTCAAAAAGAATTTGGGAGTCCTATACGGAGCTGTCAAAATTTTCTTTACAAAGTAGGTATTAATCAATTTTCCCTCAAATGTCTTGTATAGCTGATGCTTTCAAACTATAATCACTAACCCACCTTATAGTCAATTGCTATGTCTGAATTCTCTTTAACGGTTTCTCCTTCTGCTTGTTTCTAGGAGGCTGGGAGGGTTGAACTGCATAACATCCCACATTCTAAATTGGTCCAATTATTCCCACTTGAGGTCAGCTGATTTGTCCCTCCATCTCCTATATCTTCTGTAAACTGAGATGTAGTCTATAAGTTTGATTAGATTTAAGCAGAACAGCCTTGGCAAGAATAAATACTTCATGGGTAGTGATGAACTTCATCTTGAAACATGACTATTCCTTGGCCAATTTGAGTGTGGAGACTCCGTGTGCCCTAGGCAGATTTATGGTTCCCGAGGAGAACAATGCAAAATGAACCAAAATAATTTGTGTTATTAGAAATCCAATTGTTTTAAAATCATAAATTTTTGTGAGAATTGTGTTACCCAGCTCTTTTTCAGAAAAGATTTTACCTTGAAAGGCTAGAGCTAGCAAGTCAACACCAAAACTAAAATAAAATGAGAGACGCATTAATGAAAACAAAACAAAACAAAACAAAAACAAAGTAGGTATTTAAACCCCACCAGCAAATTTACCATCACTATTATTTCATAAAAGAAAACTCATTTGAATACTCTCTAAAAAAGTGGAAGATACTTCAAGTCATCATTCCCAAAAAAGGATAGTTGACAATTGCATGCCAAAATTACCCTTATTTTTTTCATTTTGTTAAAAATCAGTAAGCATTTAAGGATTAACATCAGTCTACAAACTGGTAATTAATACAAGATGCTTTACATGAATGAATTTGTTCTAGCTACTTCATGGGAATGTTCATTCAACAAATACTAACCAAACACTTATTATGCTATTAAAAGAATTCAGGAGCAAATGAGGTCAAGTATATGAAAACACTATACACAGTGCCTTGTAGATTGCCAAGCATCATTAAAATATATGGTATTATTACAAATATATATTATTACATATATAATTATATAATATATATTACATATACATATATATTACTTATATATAATCAATATGTAATTATATATATAATTATATATGTAATATATATAACATACACATATAAATTATACATATATATATATATATATATATATATATATATATATTTACAGATTCCTAAAAAGAGATTACCCAACACATGTTTTAGTGGCTTAGTAATTTTCTACGTTCATGCTATCAAATAGTTTTCAGAATTCTTAAGAATCCCCATTTTCCTTCTTTTTTAAAAAAAGAAATAGTTATATTTGTGATGTAGTTCAGGATTCTGCCATGTTCTGCTTTATGGGAACTGAGGATGTTACCATTCCCTCAGGTGGTTATGACTCCCAAGGGAAAGTTATTAAGCTAGAAATTGCTGCTATAATAACCAGTAAGTATACTCTGGATTCTAAAAAATAAAATGTCACAGGGTCTAAAAGGCAGATTCAGGCAAAGAGAAAAATTTATTTTCTTATTCTTGAAATGGTTGTAAGAATTTTCAATGATAAAGTTCACTTTGAAGTACGATCAAGAAATAATGAGATACCAAATGTAAAAATTATGCAGTTTTCTAATTTCCTCCATTGCTTCTTAAACCACTGAAAATAATTTCACAGTTCAACACATTTAGGCATCTTCTTCTTCATTTTCTTCATTTTTTTCTTCTTTAGGCAACAATGGATCAATCTTCAGTAATAAACCTTCACTTGTTGAAGTACGAAGGAAAGCACGTATCACAAAGGGACCTGGAAACAAAAACAAGAATCAACTTTGATTTTATTCCACAAAACCACTGCATGAGCAAATATAGTAAGTCCTCACTTAATATTCTAACTAGGTTCTTGGAAACTGCAACTTCGAGCAAAACAACTTATAAAGAAACCAGTTTTACCACAGGCTAATTAATAAAGTTAAGTTTCTACAGCATATGTCTAGTCACAAAAATATCACCAAGCTTCTAAATAAAGACCTCAAACACTTCTAATATTAACCATTGAAATAAATGTGAACTATACATACATTTAAGATTAATAAAAACAAGTAAGATAATTACTTACCCAACTTGAGTGAATCAAAGTAACAGGAGTCATAGTAAAAACATAGCTACAGTTTTCACTTTGCCAACACTTATTCTTTAAGTCAAAGAATACGACTTAAATCAAAGAACAAGTGTTTGTAAAGTGAAACTGTAAGAAGCACCTCCTGCCACCCACCATGCAGTTCAAAAACAAACTAACAAATACGGTTGGTCCACGGAGTACTTTGATACCACATCATCCATTATCCTGCATTTGTGTAATTATCATATAGTTGACACATTTTTATTTTACAACAGTTTATTTTCATTCATTCATCTTCCAATTCCCTTATTCCAGTTGAGGGTTGTGGTGGCCAGAGCCTATCCCTGCAGGTCAGAGCATAGGTGGGAACCATCTCTGGATAAGACAGCATCTCACTGCAGGGCACACGTACATACCTCCCACACGCACACCGGGACCATAGAGACACACCAATTAGCCTAACATGCCCATCTTTGGGATGTGAGTGGAAATTGAGGTACCCGGAGAACCCATGCAGACATGAGGAGAACATGCACACTCCACACAGACAGAGGCTCTGGCCAGGAATCTATTTTTTTTTTTTTAATCAATGTTATAATGAAATGACACTGAAAAAACGGATGCTATTCAAAGACCTGCTGTACAAATATACAACAGGAAAACTTGTAGAATTCATGTCATATTTTCACATGAAAAGTACTGTATTACTGAACTAATATTTTGAATTAAAAGGGGAAGACAGTCTCATTTCTAGAATAGAAGACAAACTAGTTGTACTCTAGAATATTAGAGATTTATCCTTGGAACGAAACATACTCACTAATAATTCATTTCTCTTCAAAAAGATGATCACCTAGAATTTATTTTATTGCAAAGTCAACAGTGAAGGGAGCAAGTGGTGATATTTACATCTGATGAAAATATTATAAATAATTTATTTAAAACTGTCAGCACAGATGCTACCTTTATGTTACCACACAGTTGATAAAATTTCCTAAAAACTAAAATGCTTTTCTTAAGAACAACATTGAGGGGCTTCATTTAAAACAGCAAAAACACAGCCGGGCACAGTGGTTCATGCCTGTAATCCCAGCACTTTGGGAGGCCAAGGTGGGTGGATCACCTGAGGTCAGAGTTTGTCACCACCCTGGCCAACATGGTAAGACCCCATCTCTACTAAAAATACAAAAATTAGCCAGCATGGTGGCAGACACCTGTAATCCCAGCTACTCAGGAAGCTGAGGCAGGAGAATCACTTGAACCTGGGAGGTGGAGGTTGCAGTGAGCTAACATCACACCACTGCATTCCAGCGTGGGTGACAGAGCAAGACTCCATCTCAAAAAAATAAAATAAAATGGCAAAAAGAGAATCCAAATATTTAAACATGCTAAGGGGCTTTATTTGAAATAGCAAAAAGAGAATAACAACATTTTGAGGATTTGCTGCCCATCATCTACTCCTACTATTGTCTTGGAGGATGTTGTACTAAAATCAAAGTTCTCTGTGGAATGTAAGAATCCATACATGGGAGATTAAGGAGGGCTAACATTAGGAGAAATACCTAATATAGATGACAGGGGGATGGATGCAGCAAATCACCATGGCACGTGTATACCTATGTAACAAACCTGCATGTTCTGTACATGTACCCCAGAACTTGAAGTATAATGAAAGAAAGAAGAGAAAGAGAAAGAGCGAGAGAGAGAGAGAGAGAGACAGAGAGAGAGACAAAGAGAAAGAAAAAGAAAGAAAGAAAGAAAGAAAGAAAGAAAGAAAGAAAGAAAGAAAGAAAGAAAGAAAGAAAGAAAGAAAGAAAGAAAGAAAAAGAAAGAAAGAAAGAAAAGAAAGAAAGAAAATCCATACATATACAATTATTTAGAAGTATGGCCATATTTAGGACAAGAGAATTAACAAGTGTGGTATTTATTCATCAATATGGTTAACTCTCAAAGAAAGTGAAAAATAGCTTAAGATTGTGCTTTAATTATAAACTTGGTTATCAAACTAAACCTGATAAATTCTTATTATGGTAAGCCTACAAATGAACAGTCAATTGAGTATAATGGACCCTTGCTTGGCTTCAACCATCCACACGTGAAATTTGTCTGCGGAAGGAACCTGAAGAACACACAATGCAATGATAAAGGAACTGGACCAGCTGGTGTTCTAGCCTACTACAAAACTTCCGAACCTCGATTGAGTTGAGTGATTCTCTATGAATCTACTCATTTATAAGTGACTCTCATGACACAATAAAATGATCTTCTTTCTTTCCTGTAATAAATAAGATTAAGAAAACCAATTGCTAGTGCCAATGACAAAGTGAATGATCTGGCTTCAAAATGCCATTTTAGAAATAATTCTGGTCCCTAACATCACTGTAAGTTTAAAGCAGTTACAGTTTTCTTTCAAACTTTGTTACATTTGTTAGTAGTAATAATGTAGGAATCTACAAAGGTTTCAGGGTGCATTTCTTATTAATGCTAGAGAAATCCTTTGGATAATTAAATTTTATTTTATTTATGTAATCCCTGGAAATATAAAACATGCATGTTAACTTGATGTTTTATTTAATATTTTACATTTTGCTATTATACTTGCATGTTAACTTGATTATTTTCTTCATATTTCACATTTTTTAAAGTATCATAGGGTCGGTAGCTAGTTCCTGTGTTGACAGAGCAGAAGAGGAGTTTCTCCCCTCCAGGGAATGGAGGCTGAGAGACCACAGGAAGAAGAGGATGGTGAGAAGGACCCCCCTCAGGATGAGCAAGGCTGGCCCCCTCCAAATTCCACCACTCGGCCTTGGCGATCTGCTCCTCCATCCCCTCCTCCTCCACGGACCCATAACACAGACTGAGCTCCTTCTGGACCCGGTAGCTGAAGCCCAGTCCCGCCGCCTAGAGGAGCAGAGGGCCACCCTCCACGCCCCCCAAGACCCCCCAATCCTAGCCCCTGCCCCACCCCGTCCTCTTGAGGACAGAGAACAGCTCTACAGCACCATCCTGAGTCACCAGTGCCAGCGGATGGAAGCCCAGTGGTCAGAGCCTCCCCTCCCCCCAGGGGGGCAGGAGCTCCTGGAGTTGCTGCTGAGAGTTCAGGGTGGGGGTCGAATGGAGGAGCAAAGGTCCCAGCCCCCGACACACACCTGCTGAGACTTGAGTCCCAGCCAGCCCTTCCTCACCCGGGGCTCAAAGCTGGGCAGACCATTACATGCCCTCAATTCTTACGTGGCAGGGGTACCAGAGACTGAAAGACCCAGCACAAATCTCAATATTCATCGCCCACATTACCTTCCCTGGGAACTAGACTGGGTGAAAGTCCTCAAACTCTGGGAACAGGCAAGGTGGAATGGTGATTTTAACTCCCTCCCCAAGTCCTTGGGAGCTTGAGGCAGGAAGGGCGACCCCAGGCACCTATCTCAAGGAGTGGCTGGGAGTCTTCCCTGACTTGTGGTGACACCACCTATTTGTCAAGCTACTAGGCAAGGTCTGAGGGTTCAGGCCTCCACCTGAGAGGTTATAACCTGAGAGACAGTTCCACCCTCCCCCTTAGTAAGAATGGAAGGTAGATGGGCACCTGAGAGATGAAGCCTATTAAGACTATTCTCCCAGTCCCACCACCAGCAGCCCCCATCCCTGAGACTGAGGGGTTTACAGGCTGTGAATGGACCTTTAGCCCTGCCCACCCTCCCTCCCCACTGCTGCTCTGAGTCTGTCTGATGTTTTGATTGCGTGAATAAATGTAATTCCCCTCTGGAAAAAAAAAAAAAGTATCATAGGGTCATAGGGAAGTCTACCCTCAGCAAACCACTTACCGAAACTCAGCGGTCTGTGCCTACAAACTTCATTAATAACTGCTTGCAGATTGGCAGCTATCTGGTCACTTGACATATCCAACTGAAAGAAAAGAATACATGTAACATTAATGATTAGAAAGCGAGAAGATAATACAGTTATTCTAGACTATTTCTCAAATACTCAACCAATGCAAATTATCCATTAAGTGACCCTACTGTGAAAGGGAAAAACCTCTATAGTTCTTTGTTTCAAATGCCACATTTACATGTCTTCACATGTCAAGATTTAATAGACTTATGGAACACATTACAACAAATTGAAGTGGAAGATTTTCCACTTTAGAGTCCTTGACTTCCAAGTAATTTCCCCAAAGCATATCTTGGAGCAGAATACATCATTCCCTACACCCACCCCCCAAAGGAAACAATGATATTTTCCCTTGAAGTCTGTCAGTTTAAAGGAAAGTAAGAAAATGTTTAGAAATTAATGTTTTCATGAGTCCAAAATAAAATTGCTTGCTACACGCATTCAGACAATACATCTCACATGAGACAATTTCAAGATACTGTCTAACACTGTAATTTTTCAAACAGTCTATGTAATAATGATTACCTTGTCATTAAATAGTAAGTAAATATACAATGAATGAGTCGTATTCATAAAACTCCTAAACCCAACTTATACTCTTGAAAAGTCTTTGTGCTTATTATTCAAATACAATGACTCTTATTTTTCCTAAATATTCCAGTTAAAATCTGCTATATTACATTCAAATGTTTACAAGATTTTGCACTGTGCCAAATTAATCAGTTTCTTAAAATTCATGGCCGGGCACGGTGGCTCACACCTTTAATTCCAGCACTTTGGGAGACGGAGGTGGGAGGATCACCTGAGGTCAGGAGTTTGAGACCAGCCTGGACAACATGGTGAAACACCGTCTCTACTAAAAATATATAAATTAGCCAGCTGTGGTGGTGGATGACTGTAATCCAAGCTAGCTGGGAGGCTGAGACAGAAGAATCATTTCAACGCAGGAAGCAGAGGTTACAGTGAGCTGAGATCCCACTACTGCACTCCAGCCTGAGTGACAAGAGCAAAATTCTGTCTAAACACACACACACACACACACACACACACACACACACACAATTATAGTAGCTTAGTGGGCAAAAATCATATAGTACAACAGTTGAAGTCAAACAAGATTTCTGTTTTCCAAAGTCTCTGAGAGCACTGTGAGAAATGTGCCCCACATAAGCATAAAGAGAATTCCTCCTAAAAAAAATTATTTTAGCAACCTCAAACAGCATTGATTCAACACCCACTTGGGCATCATGCAGTACCAAATCCTAAATGAGAAAGGCTGAATTCTCATTTAGGAATTCCTCTCATTACTGGAGGAATTCTCACTTTACGCCAATCCGTAAGTAGAAGTTCTGAAAGGAAGTAAAATGAAAGCAATGCATAGTCTACCTTAAGTCCATAGACCATACAGACTTTAATTTGCATTGAAGCAAGTAGCTCACTGGCAGAGAAGGTACCTTAAATGTTTTATGTTGAAAAATTAAAAAGAAAAGGCTAAAGGCATCAGCATGTGTCCCTGCCTTCAACTCCCTCTTAATTCTCCACTTTACCTCAAATTGTCCTTCTTTCTATTATAAACTGAAGTAACCATCACAGCTCTAATGAGTTCTACACCCCTTGCTAAAGACCTATTCCTACTTTAAATTTGGAAAAGAGATAAAGGAAAAGCAAGGTTTCCAACCTATCTTTTTAAACAGTTACGAGCTATATTGATATATTATATACATTAAACTTCTCAGATTTTTGTAACTATACTCCTGCAGCTTTATGTTGCCATTCCTATAGTAAGCTAAAATGACAATGTATGTTTTCAAAAATATAAAACAATTACGTTCCCTGCAACTTTCATTATTAGGATGCCCTCAATGATTTTATCAATTTAAGTTTAAAAAAAACACACACACACACAAATGTTTTAAAACACAGTTTAAGGCCAGGTGCGGTGGCTCACACCTGTAATCCCAGCATTTTGGGAGGCTGAGACAGGCAGATCACGAGATCAGAAGATAGAGACCAGCCTAGCCAACACAGTGAAACCCCATCTCTACCCAAAATACAAAATTTAGCTGGGTGTGGTGGTGGGCACCTGTAATCCCAGCTACTCAGGAGGCTGAGGCAAGAGAATCTCTTTAACCTGGGAGGTGAAGGTTGCAGTGAGCCAAGATTGCACCACTGCACTCCAGCCTGGGTAACAGAGTGAGATTTCATTTCAAAAAAAATAAATAAATAAATATAAACATAGTTTATGCTTTTGCCCAAATTTTAGAATCTTTATTATATGGTACTGTGCCCTCTACTGAATTTTAAAATATATGTATAGCCATAATACTTTTTATTTTAGATACTGTACAAAATTATGAAAATGTTACATATCTCATAGGCATTACTGTGATTATTTAATTGGCTAGCGATGACAAGATAGATAGCTGTGTACAAAAATAAAATGTAAGTGTGCCTCAGTTGTATCAAAACTCACAAAGGAAATTCATTTGGGCTGATAATGATCTAGAGAGCTCAGGAAAGCAACACTTGCAAGGTTTGCTGCCTCCTCCTCAGTCTGCACTTCTGATAGTACTTTCCCATGCAACCACATTTTATTTAACATAAGGAAGCAGGATGACTATTTTGAGGAGAGACTATTATCCATTAGATTACCAATAGCACAGCATATGACTTGGCACAGCAAGGGGAAAAAAAACAGGGATGGGGTTGATCTTGAAGGGGAGACAGGACTATGTTAAGCACCATATTTGTGCTAGTGCACTTGTGTGTATTTGAATATGTAACAGTCACAATACTATCTATATTTAACTAAAGTGAATATCTACTGTAAGACAAAACAGTTATTCCTTATCCTGGAGCATACATGTTTTAAAACAAACAAACAAAAAACAAATAACATCACTTTATTGAATCCTACTTTCTGCTTAACATCCCTTATTATATCGGAAACGATTCCCTAAGCAGACTAGGTGGAAGACTTCTACAAAAGATGTCAGGGTAATGGCTCAGTGGATCCAGGTAAACTTTATGTCTCTAACTCTGTTTAACTGACATATTCCCCTTTTTGTGTAATTCCTAATCTTTTTATTCAATAACTTTCTTATCATTATGAGAAAACTAAAAATCAGTGGTTCTTAATTCTCCCCCCTTTTTTTTCCTGTCCCCTTGAGAGGTACATGTCATAATTCATCTCAGGACAAAATGTAATCACAAGCATGTCCAAGCCAGTAATTCTTAAACATTTTTAGGTCATTGAATCTTGCTACAGAAAAAAATGCACATAAAGAACTTAGTCTGTACTACTAGGGTCTTCACAGATTCTCTGATTTAAAAGAAAGGGGATAAAAGAAGAAAGATTCCTGGGCAAAGTGTCTGAGTTAAAAAGGATCCCTGGGCCACACTTTGAGAACCACTAATACAGAAGTTAGTCTGTTCAAAATATTTTGGAGGACTAAGAATTACAGTGTAAATAAAGGACTTTTACAATCTTACAGAAGACAGAACTGAAAAAAAAAAAAAAGCAAAGTACACATACATGATTTTTATACAATCACATGTTCCTTCTAAAGTGGCAGCTTCTATTACTAGAAATGTTCCAACAGTCTCTAGATGACTAATCACCTTTGAATGAAAACTGCAGAGAGGACCGCAGCTTTGAATAAGCAATAGTTAGACCACTTGTCTTCCAAAATCCCTTCCAAATGTAATATTCTAAGACTATATAAAGTGTGACTTGGCAAAGGGCTTTTGAAGATGGGCCAAAACTCATAATTTCCATGACTCCAAACAGTCTAAACCAAGAAAAGAATGATTATCTATATGTCTCCTATGCAACATAAAGTAGTAGTAATAATAATGACAATAATTGATGGTGTAGCTCTGTTTATTGGGTACTTACTCTGCGCCAGGCTCTAAGTGTTCACACAGATATTCTTATTCATTTCTCCCAAGACCTTATGAGATAGGTGCTATTATTATCCTTTATTTACACTTATAAACTGAGACTCAGAAAACTCTGTAACTTATTCATGGGCATACACATGGTAAGGAGTGGCCCAGTAACTATGTCTGAGCACTTAAGACAAACAAACCCCACTTCCACCACCTTACTAGCTTATGACTCTGGACAAAGCTATTACAAGTTGGTGATTTTTTTTGCTTTGAGACAGAGTCTTACTCTGTTGTCACCCAGGCTGGAGTAAAATGGCACAATCTCAGCTCACTGCAACCTCTGCCACCTGAATTCAAGAGATTCTCTTGCCTCAGCCTCCCAAGTGGCTGGGATTGCAGTACCCGCCACCATGCCCAGCTAATTTTTGTATTTTTAGTAGAGACAGGGTTTCACCATGTTGGCCAGGCTGGTCTTGAACTCCTGACCTCAGGTGATCCGCCCACCTCGGCCTCCCAAAGTGAAGTTGCTCATCTTTATATAAGGAAAAAGAAGTATCAGTTGTCTGAAAAACACAAATGAGCATGTTGTATACTAAGGGGAGAAAAAAAGGGAAACTTAAGTGAAACACTAAAAGAGTATATATTTAAGAGGGAAAAATAAGAATTTTTCTCTCTGCCTAATGAATCCTTTATTACCTTCCTAATTTTTAGATGTTAACACATACAATTTAGCAACATTTACTAAGCCCCACTCTGTCAAGCAACACAGGGAACCAGGAACAGAAAGATGAATAAGGTACAAACTTTGCCCTTAAGGAGATTACAAGCTAGACACTAAAACACAACTGATTGATAAGGAAGGCTTTACTTATACCAAAGAAGGTGATATCTAAGCTGAGTCTTAAAGGATGAAGAATTTCAAAGGACAAAGAGGATCTTCTAGGCAGAGGGACCAGCATCAGGTAATGAGACAAAGGTGGATCAGGAAAACCCACAGACCCTTTGAAGGAAGTGGATTGCTCTGGCAGTCCCCAGAGACAGCTGAAAAACTGCTGCTATCCATGGCTGAGAGACCTGAAGACAGTTCGCATCAGAGTACTCTATGCAGACATGCCCCAGTA